ATAGTTTGTTGATTTGTTGAGGACAGCCATCCTTACAGGTGTAAGGTACAGCAAATCAACCATCAATAAAATAACAAGAGTGCTCATTCTATGGAAGTACATATTTGCCAATGATACACCCGATAAGGTGTTAACCTCTAAAATATACAGGGAACTCATACTACTTAACAAAAGGAAGATAAATGACCCAATTAAAAAAGGAACAAAGGACCTCAATAGACACTTATCCAAAATGGACATATAGAAGGCCAAAAGGCATAAGAAAAAATGCTTAGCCGGGACCAGTTTGGCTCAGTGGATAGAGCGTCGGCCTGCGGACTGAAGGGTCCCGGGTTCGATTCTGGTCAGGGGCATGTACCTTGGTTGCGGGCACATCCCCTGTGGGGTGTGTGCAAGAGGTGGCTGGTCTGTGTTTCTCTCTCATCAACGTTTCTAACTCTCTGTCCCTCTCAATTCCTCTCTGTGTAAAATCAATAAAATATATTAAAAAAAAGAAAAAGTGCTTAAAGTCACTGATCATCTGAGAAATACAAATTAAAAAGATGTTTTCTAGTAATATTTTCTAAAAGCTACATTTTCCATTCTTTCTTCTAGTCATTCAGTATGACATTCTTCTCCTACTTCCTTGAAAATGTTAATGTCTTCAAAGAGGTTATGTCCCATCTCAATCCCTCCCACAAGCCCATGATCTATATTTACAGTTGTTTTCTTGACTTGTTGGTTTGTACATATCAAATGTAGTAGTAGACTCATAAGGGCCTCTTAACTCTCCATCCCCAAGCTTGGTCCTCTTCCCAAATTTTCCTCTCAGTTGTTCAGGCTTAAAAGTTGAGTCAACCTTGATCTCTCCATTTCTCTCAGCCCCTAAATGTAGTCTATTAAAAATTCCTATGGTTTGTTTCTAAAGATATGTCCTGAATTCTATAATTTTTCAACATTGTCACTGCTCATGCCTCAATACAAGTCAGACCCACTGTTTTCCTGGATTAATATGTCTCCTGACTCATTTGCCTTCTACTTTTGTCCTCTTGTAGTTCTTTCCTTTTAGAGTAGCCAGATAAATCTTTAGAAAATGGAAAATTGATCACAAAATCTTGTTTCAAATTATAATAATAAAAGGCTAATATGCAAATGGTTGTGAGCCGTGATGCTGAAATGACTGATCAACAGGGACCTGAGGCAGTGTGGCACCAACTGAGGCGGGGGACCTGAGATTCTGCTCCCCCACTCAGTGGGGCTTGACGGGGGACCTTAGGCCATGCCTCCACCTCAGTAGGGCTTGATAAGGGATCTGAGGCCATGCCCTCTCAGCTGGTCAGGCTTGACAGGGAACCTGAGATTGTGGACCCCTTGTTGGGGGACCTGATGCTGTACCTCCTGCCTAGTGGGGCTTGATGGAGATGAGGCCAACTGGGTCTGGGTCTTGCCCTATAAGGGTGGGGATGGCTGGGTCTCGATCTGGAGCAATTTTGAGGCATGATGGGTGGCAGTGACTTGACTCTCTGGGTCCCATAGTGCATCCCAGTCTCTGACAGGAGGGAGATTTTCATACACGTTTTACTAATTTTCTTTCATCTCTGACACTTCTAATACAGAAAGGGAAAATAGCAATATTAAAACACTAGAGGCCCAGTGCATGAAATTTGTGCTCTGGGGAGGTGTCCCTCAGCCCAGCCTGCACCCTCTCCAATCTGGGACCCCTTGTGGAATGTCCAACTGTGGGTTAGGGCCACGGCAGTCAGACATCCCTTTCACAATCCAAGACTGCTGGCTCCCAACCGCTCGCCTGCCTGCCTGCCTGATTGCCCCTAACAACTTCTGCCTGCCAGCCTGATCACCCCCTAACCATTCCCCTGCAGCCTGCCTGATTGATGCCTAACTGCTCCCCTACCCACCTGGTCACCCCCAACTGCCCTCCCCTGCAGGCCTGGTCACCCCCAACTGCCCTCCCCTGCTGGCCTGATTGCCCACAACTGCCCTCCCCTGCCAGCCATCTTGTGGCAGCCATCTTGTGACCACATGGGGATGGTCATCTTGTGTGAGGGTGTGACAGACAATTTGCATATTACCTCTTCATTATATAGGATTCTCTCTAATTAATTCCCTTTTAATGTGCACGAATTTTGTACACTAGGCCACTAGTTTAGAATAAAATCCAAACTTCTTCATAAATCCTCTAAACCCATTTTTTCAATCTCATCTAACCCATTTCTCTTTAGTTAGTTTTGTCCCAGTCACATTCCTACATTTCTTCAAACCCTCAGACTTGTAATCCCCTCAGGACTTTTGACCTTGCTTCTTCCTCTGCCTGATTTCTCTTTTCTAGAACTTGTTTGAATACTCCAGAATATTGCCTGGTACATTATAAATGCTCAAAAGCTATTGGTAAACAAATGGAAGAATAAAAGAAATGAATGACTGGTTAGATGGATGACTTTTTTTCAGAGGAAAAACATTTATTAATGTATCAAATGTTTTATTTCTTATTGTTTTAGTAATTTCAGTCTAATTTTGATGTTAGGAGGTAAATTACATGTAGAGTGAGCCCTGGAGAAAGTCCTGTGAACTTTGGTTTGCTTCAAAATTAATTCTTCATTTCATGTCATGCCTTTTCCCCAGAAATGAGTTTCTATTTAATTTGAATCCTGATTGGTTTGATTTTTTTACTCTAGATGATTTGTTTCATGATTGTGCACCAGATTAAACAAGCAAACAAGTGTTCCAATACTCTGAACTTACTTCCTCACAGAGGTCTTATGCTTCCTCCAAACTATTTGTGTACCATGGGGCAAATCTTAGATCTTAAGAAAGGGACCATAGGAATGATCTACTATTAGGTTGAATCATTTCAGAAACCTTCTAAAACATTTCTAGAGGAAACAATCCAGCGTTTGAATGAATAGCTATATATATATATATATTTGATTTTTTACAGAGAGGAAGGGAGAGGGATAGAGAGTCAGAAACATCAATGAGAGAGAAACCTCAATCAGCCGCCTCCTGCACACCTCCTACTGGGGATGTGCCCGCAACCAAGGTACATGCCCTTGACCAGAATTGAACTGAGATCTTTCAGTCCACAGGCCGATGCTGTATTCACTGAGCCAGATTGGCTAGGGTGGGACCAGTTTCTTTAAGACAACTGGTTGTTTAGAAACAAGTTACTAGGAAAATGTGGGGGAAATGACCTGTTTTCCCCATTGGAGATTAATCAAACTGATTAGAAATGGAAAGAGCTGGGTTTTGAGATTTGGGTTATGTACACATGAAAAAAGAAAATTTTGGATCTGTTTAGACCATTTATTGTTTAGCAAACTGGAAAATGGTAATTGAATTGTGTAAGTTAGAGCTTGTGCCACTTTCAGGTGAATAATCTAAATTCTTAGATCCCTTTTCTCTAACCACAAAGTAATTAGCATGGTTCATGGCAAATTGATGCTCTAGAAGACTCACTTTTGATACTATAAAATATTTTCCTTGAGTCTTCTAGGACCTTCTCCTTCTTTTGTTATTCTGTAATAAATGTCATATTCTTTATTGTTGCATCCATTATGTTATGGTTTTGTCAACGCCACCATTCTCTGAGTGTCTTAAGGGCAGACTCTAAGACCTTAATTATTATTGTTGTATCAGTATGAAGTAGAAAACCTGAAACATAGAAGGGCTTAATAAATATTTTAAGCTATTGATCGACCATTCTATAATCAAGACCTCCAAGTTCAAGAAAAATGCATTTATGATTATGTGACAGCACACACACTTCCAAACATACCAACGCAGGTAGAAAGCCCAGTCCCGTTGGGGCATATTCTAAATTACCAGTTTGATGTTGTCCTTACAGGGTGGAGCAAGGGAGTGTCCAACTGGACGCTTGCCTCAATGATAGAGCTTGATTATAAGGCAGCAGAAAGTGCCAAGCCTTTAGAGTCAAGTTGGCAATTCTCTTACCTGAGAACCAATGAAATAAATTGTTTTGGGTTGTTCTCCATAAATCATAACTCCAATAAATGCTTAGGCAGGGAACTGATTTTTAAGATTTATTTGAAATAAAGTAAGCCAACAGTTTATTTATACATTTCACCAGGAGTTGGTTTAAATTTTCAACTTCTTTTCTTTAAAAGTACATGATTTTGATGTAGATTTCACAATTTTACATGAGGAATTATAAGAAGTTTTCATCATAATGCATGTGGTTTTTCTGGTACCCGTAAGTTAGCTTTTGGAAAGAGGAAGCCCTGACACATAGATGATCACGCATAATCATGCTTTAGCTATGCTAGGATCCCATAAAAATTCAGGAACATTCATGATGCAGATGATATTGCTGTGCCATTAAATTTTAATATATCTTATTTAATTTATGTTTGTGTGTGTATGAGAGGGAAAGAAAGAAAGAGGGAGAGAGAAAAGTTCCTTTGTCTTTCTAAGATCATTTCATTGAAATTAAACTTTCTCTTTGCAAACCAATTCTTCCCATTTTTTCCCTCATGACTTCCAATTCATTATTTGGGTTTAGGTTTTGAGAGTTCTTAAACTCTAAAAAATAACTGCCACCTATGTTCTTAAGTTCTTAAAATTACCCTTATTTAATTGTAAGAAAGCTCTATGTGGTTGTAAGTTACCCAAGATGGTTGTATAGATGTATTTCCTAAATTTATCTATGAAGGAAATAAAATCTCTCCTTCACATAGATCAAGAATATAGTTAATAAAAGTTGTATTGAAAATTATTTTTAATTTTTAGGGTCTTAGTTGAGAAGTGACTATTTTTGCTTTGATCTTAAATGCCTAAAATTCACCAGTAAGCTCTTATGGGTAGCACATTCTTACAGGATATTTAAGATTGCTGTAGGACTGTACAATGACTTTATATATATTTAATTTTAGGACTTAACACCACCCATCAAATATTGAGTAAGCAGAAATTTCAAATAAATAGTATCTCTTCTTGCCTCATGTTCTTTCTGTCTTGAATGCTATTCTACCACTTATTTTTTTGTGTGCATGTTTTGATACTCTACCTACATATCAGCTTCAGCAAAAACTACTTAGAGAAGAGGCCTCTGACGCTGCAGATGTGTCTGAGTTTCTCCCGTATCTCCTCCCAAAGACCCATTTCCCTCACTACCAGCTGTTACCACAACTATAATACATTTCTCACCTCTGCCTGGCACGCTGCCACAGTACTGCGCAACATTCATATGGTTTTCTTGAGGAAGACATGAAATCCATAGTAACACAGAAAGATTAAATTGCTGGTGAAACCATATTTATGTAAATGGTGTTAAATAGGGATCTTGCAGTTTATTTCGCAGTGGAAGAGTAGAGTCTTAGAGTTTTAGACAGGCACACCTGCATACAGACTTTGCAACAGAGAGGCATTTATTGCACTAGACCCCGGTGTGCTCAGCTATCCAGTCACGGTAGGATGTCACGCGTGTGTACACTCCTGGCTTATCTGGCAGACCACACTGTATTCCCCAGCTCACTATCCCCACAAGGAACCAGAGCCGCCGTGTGTCCTGTTGTACCAGTGGGCCACCAGAGTCACCCTGAAGGAATAGAAACAGAATAATTATTTCAGTGTGAAGACAACTCCAAAGCATGAAGGAATTTATTTTTTTTATGGCAGTGGAAGAAATAATATTCATTAGATAATACAGTTAGTCTGACATTTCCTGGCAAGATATTATACATGTGAAAAATCACCAAACTTTTTCAAGCACACATATTTCCCAGGTTCCTTTAGTTGCCTGGTTGACTCCCTTAGGAAACCTTCCTGACCACCTGTGCCTTCCCTTCCCACTGCCACCCCTCCCACCTTTGGTCTGGATTAGTTTGTCACTGCCTGTGTTCCCCTATCTTGTGTGTATCTTTTTCACCACTTCATCATTTTACACAAGCACGTTCGTGTGCCTGTTTGAACTTACTCCCACTGGATCAGTTCCTCTCATTGCGGCAGCTGCACATCTCTGCAACCCTCCTTGCATTTTCATGATACTTGTTCAGTGCCTGCTTTTCTGGTCATTCTGTAAAGTCCATCAGGGGAAGGGGCCTACCTATTCCAGGCACTGCTGTATCCTATGCTTCTAGCCCATAAGAGATGCTATGAAAATACTTGATGAATGAGTTTTTAGAAGTCTCACTTACCCTTCTATTCATAGTACTCTCCCTGCATGGTGTCATTAAATTTTTATTTATTTATTTTTTATCAGATATATGCTATAGCAATATCTTTACTGATACCTCTCCTAGGCAATAGAAAATTAACAAATGGTACTACATCAAAATAAAAAGCTTCTGCACAGCAAAAGAAACCATCAATAAAACAAAACAACAAGAAAGCTCATGAAATGGGAGAACATATTTGCCAATGTAAGGGCCTAGTCTCCAAAATTTAAAGGGAACTCATACATCTTAACAAAAGGAAGATTAAACAATCCAATCAAAAATGGGCAAAGGACTTAGACACTTTTCGAAAGGGCACATACAGAAAGCTGAGAGACACATGAAAATATGCTCAAAGTCACTAATTATCTAAGCGATGTAATTCAAAACGACATTGAGATACCACCTCACACCTGTCAGAATGGTTATTATCAACAAATTGACAAACAAGTGTTGGCGAGGACGCAGAGAAAAAGGAACCCTTATGAACTACTGGTGGGAATGCAGACTGGTGGAGCTACTGTGAAGAACAGTATGGAGTTTCCTCAAAAAAACTGAAAATGGAACTCCCATTTGACCCAGTGACCCACTTCTAGAACTATATCCCAAGAAACTAGAAACAACAATCAGAAAGGATATATACACCCCCTATATTCATAACAGCACAATTTACAATAGCTAAGTGCCCATCAGCAGATGAGTGGATTAAAAAACTTTGGTACATCTACACAAATGGACTACTATACTACTATAAAAAAGAAGAGATTTTTACCATTTGCAACAGCATGGATGGACCTAGAGAGCATTATGCAGAATGAAATAAGCCAGTTGGAGAAAGATAAATATCACATGATCTCACTAATTTGTAGAATTTAATGAATAACATAACTGATGAGCAAAAATAGAGCCAGAGACATAGAAGTATTGAACAGACCATCAAACTTCAGCAGGAAGGCAGGGGAGGCGGCAAGGAGGGGAAGAGATCAAAGGATTTGTATACATGCATATAAGCATAGCCAATGCACAGAGATACTAGGGCGGGGTGAGGGCATATGCTGGGGCATGGGCATGGTCAGAGAGAGGTCAATAGGGGGAAAATATATATAATACTTGAAAAACAAGAAAAGAACAGGAATTCCACTGTATGGGAGAACATATTTAGCAATGATACATCTGATAAGGGGTTAATCTCCAAAATATATATTCATACAACTTATCAAAGGAAGACAAATAATTCAATTAAAAAATGGGCAAAGACCTAAATAGACACTTCTCCAAAGTGGACATACAGATGGCCAAGAGACATATGAAAAAATGCTCAACATCATTAATCATCAGAGAGACCTAAATTAAAACAACAATGAGATATCACCTCACAGCTATCTAAATGTCTACCATCAACAATTCAACAAATGACAAGTCCTATGATTGTGTGGGGAAAGGGAACCCTAATACACAGTTAATGGGAAGGCAGACTGGTGCAGCCTTTATGAAGAACAGTATGGAGTTTCCTCAAAAATTAAAACTGGAACTTCCATTTGACCCAGCGATCCCACTTCTAGGAATATGTCCTATGAAACCTAATCACCAATCAGAAAGAATATATGCATGCCCATGTTCATAGTAAGGCTACTTACCATAGCTAAGACCTAGAAATAGCCCGAGTACCCACCAGTAGATGAGTGGTTAAAAGGCTGTGGTACAACCTATATAATAAAAGGCTAATATGAAAATTGACCAAATGGCAGAACAACTGGTCACTATGATGTGCACTGACCACCAGGGGCAGATGCTTAATGTAGGAGCAGCCTCCTGGTGATCAGTGTGCTCCCACAGAGGGCGCATCGCTCAGCCAGAAGCCAGACTCACCTCTGATAAGCACAACTGTGGTGACAGGAGCCTCTCTCACCTCCATGGCAGCACTAAGGATGTCCAACTGCCAGCTTAGGTCTGCTCCCCCTGGGCCTAAGCTATCCATCAGATATCCCCCGAGGGCTCCTGGATTGCAAGAGGGCACAGGCTGGGCTGAAGGACGCCCTCCCCCCAAGTGCATGAATTTTGTGCACCACGCCTCTAGTTTATAACATAGAATACTATGGAGTTGTAAAAAAAAAAAAAAAAAAAAAAAAAAAGAAGGATCTCTTAGCCTTTGAGAGAGCATGCATAGTAAGACCTGGAAAGTATTATGTTAAGTGAAATAAGCCAGTCTGAGAAAGGCAAATACCATATGATCTCACTTAGATTTGGAATCTAATGAGCAAAAGAAACTGACAAACAAAATGATACAGGGACATGGAAGTATGCAACAGACTGATGATTCTCTGGGGAAAGGGGTTGAAGAAGGAAGAGATGAACAAAAGAACTTATATGCATATATTCATAACCCATGGAGACAGACAATAGAGTGGTAAAGGCCTGGAGAGGGGTGGGAGTAGGTTGGAGAGGGTCCATGGGGGAAAATAGGGGAAATCTGTAATGCTTTCAACAATAAAGATAAATACAAAAAAATCTATTTTTGATGAATATGAAGAAAAATATTTATATGGCAATGAGTAAAATGCTCCTCATGAAATACCAGCCAATTATAATAATAAACCAACCAACAAATATGTGCATATGCTTTCCAGTTGGGGAGACAAATTTAGATAAATATAGGTCTTACATGCTGCATGATGGGGGTAAATCTGTGAGTTCCGGAGTTAGATAGCCAGCGTTTGAATCTTCCACTAACCAGCAACATGACCTTCGGTAAGCTATTTAATAGCCCCTTGTGCCTCAGGTTTCCTCATCTGTAAATGTTTTTGAGTGTTTAAATGAGGTTAACATATACTAATAAAAATCAGCTATTATTACCAAGTGTGGTTCTAGAATAGTTTGCTATTCATTTGACTGCTCTCGGTAGCTAGTGCTTCCATACCTACTTAATTACTGGTCTAGATGGGAGGACGGGTCAGTGTGTGAATCACCAGAGGCACTGCCTCTTTCAGATTATGCATCTGTGCTTCAGTTAACCAGTTCTCAGCACTTTTTCCACCATTGCCTTTTTGCTGCTATTTCCACTATTGTAAGAAAATTTTCTGTGTAATGTCTTACCAAAAGTGCACAGGCAAATACTAAACTAAGAAGTACCTGTCATTTCCCCCTGTGTCTAGCCAGCTTCACTGTCCGATTTTGCAGACATTTGAGCTGGTGTTCTTTTTTCTAGACATTGCTTTGCTGAGTGCAAGAAACTCATTGTGTTAGCAAGTGTCTGATGCACAAAAATTAATTCATATATTTTCTTTGCATGCATGCATGAATGAATGAACAGAAATGAATAGAACATCATAAGCTCTTATGTGAAGTACTATTTATTCTTGAGGCACAAACTGTATGCATTGTAGTATTTCAGATGAAAAATTAATGAGGCCTTGAATAGAAGGCACAGGAAAGTTCCAAGATGAGTTATGGCTTCAACTAGGCCTGGGGGAAGAGCTGAATTTTATATGCTGCAGGTAAAGGCATCGTGAGTAAAGCATGATAACACCTGTTTATACTCATGTGTGTCCATAAGTCAGTTTGTATTAATGTTCTTAGATCTGAAATTGTTAGTACAGAGGTGTGCTGCTTATTAGATTAGTGAATTATCTGGAAAACTACTATGAAAGTTGAGAATTGGTTGTTATCAGGGCTAGCAATAAAAAAGAAGCTGCTAGGGGAGTAAGAAGTAGTCTCTACCACAAAGTCATATCCACTTAAACTGGGAATAAAGGGCCATGAGTAATTAACAGTATCTTGAAAGTTAATAAACAACTGTCTCACCTACGCACAACTTACAATCAATAAAAATGTTTTATTTTTGGTAAAATGTGTATGAGTTGGGGGGTCTTCACAAAAGTTTTGTAAGAAGTGCTTCTTATTCACTTTTTAAAAACATGTGCTCTAAATATAAAAGTCAGTAATGTCTGAGGAAAAAATAAACCTAGTTTTTCTGCATACAGTTCCCAGAAAAATAGTATCAAATTCCTCAAGAAAACAGATTGATTTTTCTTAATTCCTAGGATGTAATTTCTGATACTGAGAATTTGTTGCTATTAATATATGGAATTGGATTTCTTATAAAGTTTATTAAGAGATATAACCACATAAATTGTTTAGATAACTTAATTAAATTTTTTAGTATTAAAATATTATCTTAATGATCTTAAAGGGAGAATTTCATATTTATTGTTTGCATTTGTATGCTTAGTTAAAAATTATAGGCTAGATCTAAATTTTTCTCTCATTTGTGTTGTTTTACAATTTGAGAGCTATTGTAACTCAAGTAATTAAGCTTTTAAAATAAATTTTCTATCTTCAAGGTCTTGATATTGAGGTGTTATTTAATCTTAAAAGCAATTATTGTCCTTGACCCTTAGATGAGTAATTAATTTACTTAAGCCCTCATAGTGGTTAAATGGTTGAGATTACAATTATTAATGCCAGTGATCATGATCTAGGTTAATAACGATAAAAATAGCTGGTATTTTTTTGTTGCTTAGTATGTACCCTACATATTTAATCTCCATCTACTCTTTAGTAGGATGTAAAAACATTAGATACTCTTCTTCTTCTTCTTCTTCTTCTCTTCTTCTTCTTCTTCTTTTTCTTCTCATTTTATTGATAAAATACTTGGTTATAGAGGTTAAGGAATTCAAACTCAGGCCTGTCTGGTTCTTGAGCTTGTATTAACCACTCTGCAATCTGGCTTTTCAAAATTAGTATTTCATGACAAATCAACTTCATAAAATAAATTTTATCTCTAAAAATCTAAATCTTACATTTTTAGAGGACCAGGACTGTGTATTACAATTTATCTCTTTGCCTATCATGGTATCACATGCTAGTAAGAACTTACAAACTTGAGTGAAGTCATTGATAACATTGTCTTGAACTTACCCGGCATGCATCCACTCCACCTCCCGGCACTCCAGCACATAGCATTGAAGACAAGACTGCTCCATCATAACTATTTGGTGCATTACATACATTATTACTTATTATGTAGACCCGTCCTTGTTCTAGTACTGGAACTGGGTTGCCTGTTAATTATAAATCAGAAAGAAAACAGACTCAAAATAAGGAAATGAATTGAAGACTCTACATTGAATATGGGAAGGAATAACTGTACTCTAAATCTTATCTCTTATTCAGAAAAAAAGGCTATTAAGGTGTACTTAGGTGTCTCTTCTCAATAAAGATATCCATGAGTAGAGAAAGATAACTTTTTTTTTTTACACAGATCAGTCTCTCTCTCTCTCTCTCTCTCTCTCTCTCTCTCTCTCTCTCTCTCTCTCTCTCTCTCTCTCTCTCTCTCTCCCACTTTAGCATTTGTAATGCCCTTTAGAATTTAAGAGGGGAAAAAAATAAATCTGCTTAAAACTGATGAGTAGCATTTAAATTATCTTCTGACTGACTTTGAATTGGAAAATTACATGATGAATAACCTTTAATGTAGCAACAAAAAGAGAAACTAGTCTGTTTTCAAGGTTAAATAATTAATTTATTTTATATTGATGTTCCCTCAAAAAACAATGAAATTTTTGTGATTCGCAGAAATTTTTATATACTACACCAAATTACATTGGACCAACATTTTCCTGGACAATTAAATCTTTGTGTTATTCTGGGGAGAGACATCTACAACATGGATAAAACCCATGAAAACTGTTAATGCTATCTTTCCACTCCCTAGTTGGTGATACTCTTTATTTTCCCCTTGGCCCTATTTGCGTTTTCATATTACCCTCATATTTATTTCCATGTTATCCATTCACTAAATAAATGTGAGTGATGATTATGTGTACATAGAGTGTCTTGCTTGAGGCAGGATTTATTTAATTCCAGAATATTTTAAATGGCTATTCATACCTTAACGGGTGTTAAAACCCTTAGATAATATCTAGCCAAATTCTCTTTTTAATAAATATTATTTTAGTTTTCTTCTTATTAAGGAGCCATTTGAGTAATATGGAGTCTCTGCATCATTGAAAAATTAATGTATTTTCATCACTTTATCTTGTATTTCCCTATGAAGAACTCATGTTTCTTTATCACCTTATTTTACATTTTCCTGCGCACTTGGGAATTCTCCAGAGTAGATAGAGGCATTGTTCTGCTTTGCTGAGGAAACTCAGGAATAACTACAATTTAGACTGACCAGAATATAGTATGGTTATGTTTGTAGAATCTATCTTCCAGGTGTTCCATAATTTAAAAAGATTATAAAATAGCAAGTACCAGGAGATTTTAAAAAAAATTTTAAAATTTTTCCTGAGATACTTACTGTCAAAAGTTCGTGATCCCCATCCTGTTACATAAGCCGTGCAACCAGGTGATATATTCTGGGTAGCCTCTGGAAGACACACCCTATGGATATTTTTGGTAAAGGTGACACCATCTACAAGTTTCACAGCTGCAATATCATTTTCATGAGATATAGCTTTATAATTGTTATGGATCAAAATAGTTCTTATTGCTTTTCTCACTACAGGAAATGCTGTGGAAATACCAAAGGTGGCAGTCCATCTACGAGGATCAGAGTAGCTAAAAATAAAAATAAAATAAAATAAAAAAGAAAGAAAGAAATTATGGATTTGAATAGGGAATTTTAAATATTTGGATTTTGTGTTTTTTATCCCCAATCACTATCTAGAAACTGATTGGTCAACTTTCCTTGCTATATATTTCTGTATTACATAGCTAGCAGTTGAGTTGAACTCTTCACTGACACAACAAAGAAACATAGAAAGATTTCAGAAAATATACCTTAGGTTGGTGAAATCTTGGTAAGCATATTCTGATATTTTGACATGCCTTCATTGATGTTTTTCTTTCTACATCCTCCTATCCAAACAACTAAGAAGTCTGAAGGAATCTCCATTTTAATTTTAAATAATTTCTTCCATCTTTATTTTTTCCTTACCTTGCCTTTAGCCAAAAGCTTTTTTTTAAAATAGTAGTTATGAATAGGAGCTCCTATCTTATTAGTTGATAAATGATTTTTCTGTACTGTGAGGCTTGTTGAAGATTTCTGTGCACATGTATACAATGTGTGTGTGTGTGTGTGTGTGTGTGTGTGTGTGTGTGTGTGTGGAAAGAGAGAGTAGAGAGGGTGTGTGTGAAACCACTCACTAATATTAAAAAAAAAAAAAATCCAAGGCATTATCTTTATGACCTAGAAATTTGGATTTCTTAGTGAAACTCCCAAAACACAAACCATAGGTTAATAATGTATGAATTTCATGGAATCAAATTAAGTATACTATTGACAAGTTTATTAGGTGGATAAGAAACCATGAAAAAATACCTGCAGTGCTTAATATCTAAAACTTTTGTAGAATATATAGAAAGAAACCAATAATAATGTGCAGTAAAACTGTTATAAAATGGGCAAACTATGTGAATAGGCAGTTAATGGAAGGTGAAAGTCAAACAACTAGTCCAGTGGTCAGCAAACTCAGTCAACAGAGCCAAATATCCATAGTACAATGATTGAAATTTCTTTTGAGAGCCAAATTTTTTAAACTAAAACTTCTTCTTAACACCAGTTCTTTAAAATAGACTCGGCCAGGCCGTGGTATTTCGTGGAAGAGCCACAGTCAAGGGGTCAAAGAGCCACATGTGACTTGTGAGCCACTGTTTGCTGACCACGGAGCTAGTAGATATGTAAAAGAATATCCAAACCAACTAGTAAGCTGAGAAATGAAAAATATAACAATAATGAGCATCGCCGAAACCAGTTTGGCTCAGTGGATAAAGTGTCAACCTGTGGACTGAAGGATCCTGGGTTTGATTCCAGTCAAGGGCACGTGCCTTGGTTGCAGGCACATCCCCAGTAGAGGGTGTGCAAGAGGCAGCTGATCGATGATTCTCTCTCATCGATGTTTCTAACTCTCTAACCCTCTCTCTTTCTCTCTGTAAAAAATCAATAAAATATATTTAAAAAAAAACAATAATGAACATCTAATGTATATTCATAAGGGTGACAACAGTTTAAGAAGAGAATAATAGGGTGTCGGTGAAGAGAAGGTCAAACTCTTTTGCATTGCTGGTAAAAATGTAAACTTCTGGAAAGTATTTTAGTGTGTTGGGCAGACTGCATACATACCTCTGGGTACAAATTTCAGAGAAATTCTTGAAGGTTTATTGAGAAGCAAAAATGAAGATGTGTGGTGTGTGTTTGTGTGTGTGTGTGAAGATGGAGCAATCTACTTGAATAAAGGTATATGGTGGAGTCTATCATGGAACAGGTTAAAATTCCCAGGATTGAGCCCCCAAACTAAGGAATAATATGAGTGCAATGCTATTTATATAAATGAGGGGCGTGTGTGCACACGTGCACACACACAAACACACACACCCTATAAATTTTGTAGGCAATTGTATATTTGAAGACATATGTAAAATATTAGGGTAAGGCCTATAGGGCAGTGAAGTAGGATCCACATTAAAAGGAGAAAAATAAAATGAAAGAAAGATCTTATACAGACAAAAATAAAATGAAAAATTTTGTACAGACTATTGAAAATAAGGATCTGTGAATTGTAGGGTTAACCTAACATACTCCTAAAGTTGAATAAAAACAAAATGTAGTCTGGCTGGAATGGCTCAGTTAGCTCAGCACCATTCTGTGCTATGAAAGGTTGGCGGTTCTATTCCCAGCCAAAGCACATTCCTGGTTTGTAGGATTGGTCCCAGCTTGGGCACATATGGAAAACAGATTGGAAGGCAACTGATCGATGTTTCTCTCTCACATTGGTATTTCTCTCTCTCTTCCTCTTTCTCTAAAATAAATAAAAATATACTTTAAAAATATACTTTAAATAATAATTTAATAATTTTGTGGAGTTTAGATATAGACAGTGGAATTGATATAGAAAATAAAAATTATATATCCAGGAAATGCTTTTATAAGTCACAGTAGCTTGTATAAAGTAAATACTAGTTGAAGATTCTAAAGAAAAGATATTTGACAAGAAGCAAATACATGAATATTTTACATTGAACTTCATTTGATCAGGGTCTTTCAGTGAAGATTTTAAAATATATTATTTGTGTCTTTTTGTCCTCTTTGCCTCCTTGCATCCCTGTCTCCCTTTCTTCCTTTGTCTGTGTGTGTGTGTGTGTGTATGTGTGTGTGTGTGTGTGTGCCCAGCAAATGAATAAGATCATGATTTGAGAACCAGCAAGATTTAGATTTGAATCTTGGCTATGCCACATATTAGCAATATTATTTAGGGTAAGTTACTTAAACTCTTTAATTCTCAGTTTAATGCATAGAACGTGATAGATGATTTCCTCTCACACAATTTTAAGCATTAATTCAGACAAGTAAACTATGCCAAGCATAGTGCTTGGCACAAAGTAAATACTCAATGAAGGTAATTCTACTTTTCATTAATTATAATTCAGCAAGCCATTACTAAGTATCTACTTTGTATAATGAATAGTATGACTCTCTGGGAATAAGAATATACATAATGATGGGTGGAGTCCTCATGTAAATGTCTTTCCTAGTTGTTCCAGATAGGTAGGTAGCTGTGACCTCACCTTCTGAAGCAGTGAGCTGCTGTCAGGATCCATGTGTTACTGAGCAGCTCTACACACTAATGAAGGAAGAGCCTAACAGAGATAATCATAAATCATAGGGACTACTGTTAAAGATTAATAAGCATATTTTTGTGAGAAGCAGGTAGGAGAAGGAAAGGAGCATCAGGGAAAGCTCCATAGAGGAGGTAACAGTTCAAGACTCCATTCTATGAAGGCCTCATCACTTCTTTGTTCCTTGATAGAATATTGGTCCTGCCCCAAACAAATCCTCACTGATGGGCTCTCAGTGACAATCAGGTCTACAAGGAGATGCCAATGCAAGGTACATATACTTTGCTAGCTCTCAGGGATAAGTCGGGGTAGTGAATGGAAGGATTTGGGGAGACAAACTTCCCCAAATGTTCCAAGCCTTTAAAATAATGGTTTTCTTTGGTTACCATTGTGGCTTTCATTATAATTGTGGCTTTCATTTATAACTGTGGCCTTTACTTAGCGTTTGGTGATTGGCTCTGAATACAGCTTAGAATCCTGCACTCTTTCTATTGTATTCTTGATTACTCTAAGAGCTTGCTGCTAAGTCCAGGTATTTGCATTTCTGGTTCCTAAACTCTGGGGTGATCGAAGTCAATTAGTGCCGTTCCTTTCAAGTGGCAATGCAGATTGAAATGTTTTTGTTAATTTTGTTGCTTGTATTTTCTGGTATATAGCAATATATGTGCTGATCTAAATCAGAAATTTGGTTACTCCTGATATCAGAAAGTTTTGCCAGCAGAAATTTCAAATGTATTTACTGTGTAAAAAATATATATTGAGTCCTAATATAGTTATAAGAAAATTTCAGAATAATTTGGGTTTTCCTAAAACATTTGTTCAGAATACATGTACTAATCATTTTAAATGTTACTTCCTCTTAACTTAATAAACGCTTTTGAAACAGGCATTGTAATATGAGGCAGTACCATCAAATCTGTAAAGGACTTCTTAAATTAGTTAAGATTTTATAGAATTCCAGTAAACATGGAGGTTTGGAAGAAATATTAACATTTTATAGAGAATAATCAGATTGAGCAACTGCTCTGAGATGGGAAAATGTAAGCAGAGTCCGGGGGCAGAGAGTACTACGGTAATGTGGTTGGAGCTTAAGCTTTCTCATGCTTTGAGAAATAAATCTGAATTACTAAAATTGGAGTGCTTTGGGGTGTGGTAAGGAAGATGGATTCGAGACGGGGTTTTTGAAAGAGAATAGATATAGTTAGAGACACATGAGTTCAGATCATCATCACTTTCTAAGTGAGCTTTTTGAGTTTAATTTTTTTCACAATGTTTGTGTCTAGGATAGCCTAATGATAAAGTAGGTCTGAATCTAGAAGGTTTTAGTCACACTAAAGTCTAAAGTTCTTCTATTATGAGCAGTAGGGCTTTTTTCTTTATGTATCCTACTATCCACTGGCAGCTTCTTACTCTAATTATGTTAACAATAATAACAACAACAATAACCTGTATTTACATCATTGAAGAATTCTCTATAACTTGTTTAAATTAATTTATTTATGTTAGTCCATTGTAGTTGGTCATTACCTTTGTGTTAGAACTTAGGCTCCCTTGAAGAAGGGGCAGTGTTTGTTTAATTAGCTTCTAAAATAGATAACACTATTAGTGGCATAAGCTGTTTGAGATCAGCTATCAGTCTGTTGAGTAGGTGACCAGATATAATGTGCAATTTTTTTGCAACAATCTATTGTGCTAACATTTAACATGTTTTCATTAGCATATTTAATCCTCTCACTAAAACTAAGACATAGATAACAGTATGTCCTTATTTGCCCTTAATTTGAAAAAGAATAAAAATAAAAACAAGACTTGTGGAGGATCAATAAATTTCCTAAATTTTGTAGCTAAGATAAAAATTAAACATCCTTATAATAAAAGCCTAATATGCAAAGTGACCAAATGGAGGAATGACTGGCAGAACAACTGGTTGCTATGATGCATACTGACCACCAGAGGGCAGATGCTTAATGCAGGAGCTTCCCCCAGCTTGCAGGCCTCAGGCCAGCCAAGGTGGGCACTACTCTCCACCCCCATCCCTCCACCAGTCATGCCACAGATCGGCCCTAATCACAGCCAGGTCTAGAACCTACCCGTGCATGAATTTTGTGCACTGGACATCTAGTTCTGACATATAAATCTTTCTATTTACCATGATGATATACAATTATCTGAAATACAGGAATAAATCAGCTAGCTGAAGGTGAAAAAAATATTTTTGCTATCACGAATAGGAAGAAAATACTGATTTTTTTTTTTTTGCATTGAATTATTTCTGACTCAATCTAATCATGTTCAGTCCTTAGGGTTTGGGTGGAGTCCTCATGTATATGTCTCTCCTAGTTGTTCCAGATGGATAGGTAGCTGTAGTCTCACCTTCTGAAGCAGTGAGCTGCTGTCAGGATCCATGTGTTACTGATCAGGACACCGCCACAGTGGTGCACGCCATTCAGCTGTAGACTGACTTGCCATGGCCAGTCTCCTTCCTCAGCCTTTGTGCCTCCCATGACTCTCTCTTCAGACAATGATATCAGGTTCGGATGGGCCCCGCATTCTAATGAGAAAAGGGCATTAGTGTTCTGGGAATATCATGATTCATTTACTTTTGGGAGATATTGCAAGAGTTCATCATTTATAACTTTTATGTATTCTGTCTTTTATCTTTTCCCTCCCATAAAATGCTAGCCTTTCTAAAAGCATGATCAATATGCTATAGTTTTAGAGTACTTATATAACTACTGTTGCTTCTAAACTGAATTTTAAAGAACATTTCTGAAGTTAATTGGTGTGTCGCTTCAAATTCTGATATAGCTTCAGAGTTCTCTAGAATTCCTCATGAGCTGGGGTTGGTTATGATAGGAACAGTTGGATTCCCACTACTCAGACTATTGTCTGTGACCTGCAGTATGGGTATCTCTGAGAACTATTAAAGATGTCGGTGCTGTGTGGAAACAACCTAAGTGTTTGTCCGTGGATGAATGGATTAAGAAAATGTAATGTTCACACACACACACACACACACACACACACACACACACAAAATGGAATAATTGTATAATATTTAGGCTTAAAAAGAAAAACATTTTGTCATTTGCAACATTAATGAACCTAGAATGTGTTGCGTTAAGGGCAATGAGCCAGACAAAAACAACTACTGCATGGTATCAGAAAGTTATTGTAAGGGGCTGAGGGGGACTGGGCAGAGCTGGGTGGGAGCGGGTGGGGGGGAAGGGGATGATAAGGAAAGTTTGGTGAAAGGGCACAGACATTTTGCTATAAGGTGAATATAGTCTGAGGATCTAATGTAACAGTGATTACAGTTGATAATACTGTATTGTATAATAGAAATTTTCTAAGAGAGTAGATCTTAAATGTTTCACAAAAAAAGGTGGGGGAGGAGTATATATATGAAGTGATGGATGTGTTAATTAACCACATAGGGGAATCTTTGCACTATATATATAAACTGGACAACTTAATGTTGTCCAGTTTATATTTCAGTTTGCAATTTTATTTGTTAATTATACCTCAAAGCTGAAAAAAGAAAAAAATAGTTACTCTCAGATCCACACTAGGGAACAAATCAGAAGCTACATTTCCCCTTTACTTTGTTGAGGAATAACTGATCAATGTAATTGTATATTTAAAGTGTACAATGTGATGAGCTGATATACATGCACATTATTGAATAACAAAGAAGATCAAGATAACACAGCCCTCACCTCAAAAACTAGTAGTTAACTCTTTCCTGTGTGTGTGGTGAGAATGCTTATGATCCTGTCATTCTAAAGAATATTTTGTGGATTTAGAGTAATTTCTTTTGAAGTTTCTTTTCAAATAATTCCTTGAAAGTTGTTGAGAGTATATCTTAAACATTGACATTTCTGTAGAATTGTAAATTATGTTGGGCAACATCATTATGGCTTCTCTTAACTACCAGAATAGTTAAGAGATCACCACACACACCCAAACAAGGCTTATTTAAGCATGCTCAGCTGACACTAATATAACATAACATTGAATATGAACTGTAATTGACAAAAAATAAGAATTTAAAAAAATAATGAAATAAATAAAAATCTTAAGAGAGCCCAAGATCACTGCAATGGCCAAAGCTGAAATGGGCTGAGGTTGGCCAATCACTCAGTTCCTCTCAATTTCCATTTCCATGACTTACTTCCTCTTGTTTATTACTAAGAAATTAGAGGTAAATCAACACTACAAACTTCTATTGCTGGACCAGCTCTAAGGCAGTGATACTGGTTTAATATGACAACCATCCAAAGGCTTTTTTTTTTTTTTTTTTTGTAACAGACTTCTCAGCTAGAAAAGGGCTAGACTTTGATTAAGAATATACATGGAACATATATTCCTTGGTTGTACCTCCAACCAAACCCTATAGAAATTTACATAAGTACATTTTCACAAAAATGAAGAACCATGCATTAAATATATAATAAAGTTAGACAACACTCAGAGTAGCATTATCTTATACTGTAACATCACTTAAGTATCTGAAATAGGCTAGTTATTGCGGTATATTAAACTACTTTCTGACTACATTTTATCCTCAGAGAACTGATGTTTTCTAGTGATTAGATTTTAGCTATCCTAGCCAGAGAGTATACAGAATGACAATGGAAAGTAGTGACTTTCTTTAGGATATCAACATAAAACAGACAACACATTTTTATAATTTTTTAAAAAAATTTATACTTTATAATTAACATAATTCCACAACAAAACACACTGTTCTGGTAGTTAAGAGAAGCCATAATGATGTTGCCCAACATAATTTACAATTCTACAGAAATGCCATCATAGGGTCCAGGGCAGGAAAAACTACCCAAAGCTGCCAAGAAATTTTTCACGAAGTCACACTTGTTACAGAATGGGAGGAATGCCACTGCTACCACTTCTTTCCTCAAGGAGGGGGAAACCTGAATCACCAATGGAATCAGCAGTGACTTATCTCAACAACATCCCACGTGAGTGAACTAAGAATAAAGATATCACCTCAATAGACACTGTCTTGGCAAAGTGCACAAATGACCACCTACTTTGTATATTCTAGTAAATCATATTTACAAAATAATTTTAAAAGTTACCTTTATTGAACATATTTACTGCTTCTTGGTCATCAAGAGCTGGTGTCAAAAACAAAAAAGACCAAGATTAATACATTAAGGACTGTATATAATTTTATTATAATTTCTTAAAGGGTAACCCTCAGACAACCATCATTAGAAACACTTGGACAGCTGCTAAGATACAGATTCCCAGGCTCCTCATTTAGTAATGACATCACTTCCACCAATGGCTAGACATCTGAAATGGCCTTTGAACTATTTCTTTCTTATAATTTTCACATCTTACTGGTCTCCACATTTTGTACCTTCTAGCTCCTAATTTTTCTTTCAATTAGCCCCATTCTCTCCATTCTTTTGGCTATTACATTAGTTCATGCTTTCATCATCTGATACCTATACTCTTTAAAAAAAAAAAAAAAATATATATATATATATATATATATATATATATATATATATATATATATTTTATTGATTTTTTACAGAGAGGAAGGGAGAGAGATAGAGAATTAGAAACATCGATGAGAGACAAACATCGATCAGCTGCATCCTATACATTCCTCACTGGGGATGTGCCTGCAACCAAGATACATGCCCTTGATCAGAATTGAACCTGGGACCCTTGAGTCTGCAGGCTGATGCTTCATCCACTGAACCAAACCAGCTAGGGTGACACCTATTCTCTTAAAATAACCTTCAAATTGGGTTCCTTTGCACTTTGCATGCCTCCATCTCTATTTTACCAGGCTGAGTTTTCTAAAAATGTATAACAGGTCATATCCTTCTCTGATTGAAGTCAGCTTTGCATTTCCTATAATCTAGTAAATCTAAACTCAGACGAGTTATCATGATCTCTAAAACCAATCTATGCCAATTTATTGGCTGCCAGAAGTTTCACAGGGCTTTGGCATCACATCTGCTGTGTAGTGTCAGAAGAGCTAAAAAATCCTTTTAGAGGCAAGAAATAAAAAGAGCTGACCGTTGCTTTTCCTCTTTTGAACAAGAGAGACTTGACTTCAAATCTTAACTCCCCTACATGTTGACTCACTGACCCTGGGCAATTATCTAGCTTTTCTGAGTGTTAACAATAAAAGCATAAGATATGATTGTTGTGAGGATTAAACAAACTATAGTGTCTGAGTGTCGGCCAGCCATAATGGACATGACCAGCCATGGAATCGGAGCAGTGTCCTGGAGGTCTGTTCTGTGCCAAGGATTAACTCTTTACTTGCTGGCAGAGGAGATGGGGGTCCAGGGTAGAGCTGGGAGGACTTGGAGGGACTGGGGAGAAAACTTTGTGGTCCTGGTGCAATGATTGTTTACCAACAGATTTCAAATTGCTTTTCTCTCCGTTGGTTAACAATGAGATTGAATAGTCCAGTGTGGGAGCCAGCAAAATCCTTTAATCTTTTTATTTATGTATTTTTAATATTTTATTGATTTTTTACAGAGAGGAAGAGAGTTAGAAACATCGATGAGAGAGAATCATCGATTAGCTGCCTCTTACACACCCCCTACTGGGGATGTGCCAAGGTACATGCCCTTGACTGGAATTGAACCTGGTCAAGGTACATGCCCTTGGCTGGAATCGAACCTGGGACCCTTCAATCTGCAGGCCGACGCTCTATCCACTGAGCCAAACCAGTTTCGGCAAAATCCTTTAATATTGAGATTATTGTGAGGGTATCATGGTTTACTAAACATGTTATAAGACAAAGTTGGAGGAGTATCCTTAAATTTTATGCATATATTAAGTAATTCCTTTCTTTTAGTCATGCAACAATATTAATGGAATATCGATATTTATTATACTAATACTGAGTAGTAGAAGGACAGTAGTATCAACAAGGCAGACTGGTTCTTGCCTTTAGGAAGCTTACAGAAGAGGATGAAGATGAACAGTACAAAAATCATATAAATAATTTTGTAGTTTTCTTTGAGATAAATGCTATGAAGGTAAATGAAAGAATCTGTGACAAGGGTAGGTAATTGAGGATTGGAAGTTAGAAAAGGCTTGCATTAGAAAGTAATAATTCTGATGAGAACTGACAGATTTCAGGGGTGATCTAGGGAGTGTTATAACAAATGGAAACAATGTGTGCAAAGGTCTGAAGCAGGAAGAGAGGAGCTTGGCAGTTGGGGAAAATGAGTGTGGCCAGAATGAGCATGAGAGTGGTATAATATGAGGCTGGGGGAGTAAGTATGAACCAAATCATGCAGTGCTTAGATGAGGTGGCAATATCCTTTATTGTCCAAACCAGGACACTTAGGGGGCAGTAATTATTATGGTTCTTGGGACAACTGGCATGAACTGAGACTGTCCTGGGCAAACCAGAAAATATGGCATTCCACTTAAAGGAGGGTGTGTGTTATGAAAAGGTGTGTGTGTGTGTGTGTGTGTGTGTGTGTGTTGTGGGAAGCTGGGGGAGGCTTGTAAGCAAGATCATATTTGTATTGGAAAGCATTGCCTTAATAAATTTGTGAAAAATAGATTGGAAGGGGCCAAGAAAAATATATAAGGAAGCAATATGAAGGGTGGTGTAGAAGTTCAAATGAGAGATGATGTTGGTTTGAACCAGAGAGGTAGCAATTAGGATGGAGGAAAATAGACATAGATTCAAGAAAGATAATTTTCAGAGAGATTATAGGGATATTCTTAAACTCCTTCTTTATTCTACAAGTATTTACTAGAAATCTTACAGCCGCATGCTCTGTTCTGAGTGGGGATCATTAAATTGGTCTCTGACTTTGAGAAGCCACTTACCATTCCTGTAACATACATACATACACCTGACAACATTCCTCATAAGGAGTATTGAAAGGAAAAATTAATAAAGATATTTTAGTAAATGAAATTTACTATATAAATTCTAAATGATTATTTAAACTTTAGAATGTTTGATATCAGAGGGCTACATATTGTACCTACCTTTATAATATATGGTTTTCACAAAGTTTAATTCCAAGGGGAAATAAGGCCAGTTTCTCATTAATTTAAAACATGGGTTAGTTACATTGAGGGATATATTGAAATAGAATGGTAACAAAAGGTACTTGCCTGATACAACAGTTGAAGGGCTTGTTTCCAAGTTTCCAAACTTATTCAGTATTTGACGTAAAACAGCCTCAATTCTGCTTTTCATTGATGCTGCATTATTATTTCTAGAGAATTTAAATTTCATAACAGTATCAGCCATCACAGCACTGCCTTCTTGCCTGAAAACCATAAAGATATTTTTTTAAAAAAATGAATAATTATGATAATTTTGTGCCACAGACAGAGAGAATATATTTGCAACTCAGAAAGTGACAAATGATTGTTACCTACTATAAATATAGAACTTCTCCAAATCAGTAAGAAAAAGACTAACAAGAGAAAAAATAGAAAATATGTAAATATGCAATTCAAAGGAGAAGGATCCTTAGTAAAAGATAGGCATGTAAATAGATGCTCACACAGGACAGTGTTTTATACTTACTAATTTATTTGATCTTCATAACAACCCTATCAAAGAGTCATGTCACTTCCTCTTGGGAACTGTGAATAAAAACTGGCTTTTCAAGGGTAATCATCTCTTGATGTGTTGGCTTTCTATACCTCAAATTCTCCGTTAACACACTATATTTTAATTCAGAAGGGGAAGGGGAAAAGTGTGTGTATTTCAGGCAGAAGGAAAAGCTTATATAAAGGTCTGAGTTGAGAATGAAGAACTGAAAGAAGTCTAGAGGTGAGTAAAGAACAGAGTGGAAAGTAGTAAAAGATAAGCTCAGAGGTGAAGATGGTAAGAAATCAGATAAAGGAAGGTTTAGTAAACTTTTTAATACATATATGAATAAAATGTTTCAAGGATATATATATATATATATATATATATATATATATATATACACACACACACACACACACATATATAAATACACACATAGTGTGGATTGAAGGAAAGACAGAAATTAAAAATGACTCATTTTTCTTTCTCAAGCAACTATGTTAAACTTTTGCCATTAATAGAGGTATGTAACACCAGAAGAGTAACATTTGGTAAAGGAGAGATGATAGGTTCAGGTTTGGAAATAGCTTCAGCTGAGGGGAAAGTGAATAAAGGGAGCGAAAATCCAGATAACTCATTCAGTCCTATATATTTGGAGAGCTAGTGGCTAATTCAGAGACTGTTTCAAGAAGGTACTAAAGTGAATGTGCACTGAAATGCATTTTGGAAAAATACTTGTTTCATGGATTCTGCCTACTCCTCTATCCCTCAACAATATTTATCTGTCCAGAGTTCTATTTCCATGGCTTCTTATTAGGTGACTCTACAGAGAATAAGAAAAATTAATATTCTTATGGTATTAGTATTTGAGAAAAAACTGAGTCATCTTTCTTTCAAAGAACTTTTGCATATTACTTAAAGGATTGAGCAATGTAGGCATTTGAGGCATTTGTAGTAGGGTTCGTAAAGTGTGACTGTTTTAGTTGTGAATGCTTGTCTTATCACATCATGTACATAGGTACACATTCAATTAAGGCAGGAATGGCAAATAGCTAGCATGCATGCTGCTACTCCCTCTATTATTCATTCATGACAGACATGCTTGCATTTGCCACAGCATCTTTTTATATTACAGCATTCCAGGCAAACAAAAACCCAGAGACAATTTAGATGGTGGCTATAGTGTTCTGAACTTGGATGTATAAGGCCAGGACCTTATTATACTGCATAACTCCAGGGGGCCCTGTTTACATAGACTGAATTGTGAAGGGTATCCACTGAATTTATACAACAGGATAGCCCTGTTATTGTACCTGCACCCAAATCTCTCTCCACCCTTTCTCTTTTTCCTACCCCAAATTAAATGTAGTTATCTATATTAGTAGGTAAATAGGTCGTATCTGGCATGTTTAACTTTTGTTTTGGCATTTTTTAAAAAACTGCTTATGATACTATTCTCATAACATGCACTGAATTCTGTGAAAGTTTCATTCATTATTCCTGTTGTGAATAAAAAAAGTCAAATGGGCTAATTTGCACCCAAGCTTCCATATTTTTTTGGTATTGTTCCACTCACCTCAGTTTGACAACATGAGCTCGGATGAATTGATTTCTTAAATCTGATTCTTTGAATGTTGTAGTAATCTGTAGAAATAAAGGGGGGAAACCCTCTGTAATTAAAGTTCTTCTTCTCCTTAGTCCTTGCTCCCAACCTCATAGCATGAGACTTGGGTAAATGAGATGTAGGGACTTGAGTAACTAGCTCAGCTCAGTTTAGTTCCATTATATTTCAGAGCACATGGGATTGATTTAGACAGGTTACATAAACATTTGATGCAGGCCCATTTCTTCATTTATTGCACAAAGATGATAGTGGATAGGATGCGTCTTCACCAGAAGCTATTCTAAACACACTAGATGCTTTACTTAACGAGAGCCTGTGTTATGTGATTTGGTGACTCTTCCTAGGGGGTGGAGGGTGGGGCAGGAACCAAGCCAACATTAGGGAAGTCCACTGATACAACTTACATTGTGTAATTCTTTTAACAACAATTTTTAAAAGGACAAAACCAGATTAAAATGGTAACAATGGAGATCTTGAAGAGAAGGGGAGAAAGAAGCAAAGGGTGGTCTTTTCCTTGATAATTCTGATTAATGCGTAAGCATCAGAGGTATTTTTAGCATAAGTTGGTAATTTCCTGACCTTCCCTTAGCTGTCTCCCAGAATCATTGCTCAGTCCCAGCAAGAATGGCCCTCTTGAAGTTTAGCTTTACAGTGAACAAGGAGTGGTTCTAGGACTGGAACAGTCCCCCCAAATTGCAAGGTCAGATATAGTAAGGTTTTGTAATTGAGAGTGGATTCCATTCCTTTATACTGTAAAGTTGCACCAAAGTGGAGTTGGATATGAAAAGATGAAGGTAGGAAAATAGAATAGCATGCTGAATGCTACAGTAAGCCAGAATTTTGACGCCAATTCTTGTAAGTATAAAGTTTATGCAATCTCTATTACACCATCCTTTTTTCAATATTCATTCCTATAGGCAAATATCAAACCAACCAGCTGTTTGACAAAATGATAACAAAATTTTTCTAGAGAGTTCTTGAACATTTTAAAGAATGAGACTAGTATTTTATCAGTTAGCTTATTGAAGAGGATGGAAAACCTCCCAGGAGGAGTGAATGGAACATGCAAAGTTCTGCAGTGGGAACAAATAGGTTGTGTTTAAAGAATAAAAGAAGGCCAGTGTAAGCATACAGCATAAAGAGCAAAGGGGCTATGGTGGTAGGAAGGGCCAGACCTTGCAGCATTATCTTAAATAATGGGAAGTCACTGACATTTTTTTAAGTAAGCAGAAAATATAATCAGACTTTCAATTTGAGAACTGTATCTCTTGGCTGCATATGGATAATCAATTTTAGGGAAGAAGTAATGCCAATTAGTTATGGTCCTATTTTAGTACTCTAGAGTAGAAGTGATGGCTTGGATGGGTGTGGTGTTAGCACAGAAGGAGAGATGTGAATGGATTTGAGGGAAATAATGGGGGATAAAACCTATAAGAATTGGTAATGAATTTGATATTTGGAATGACAGAGAACAGTATGTCAAGGATGAATTCTAAGTTTTTGGTTTGAAAAACTGAATAAATGACATTATCATTAATGGGGACAGGATCAATAGAAGAATGTTAGGATGGCATGAAAAGATCATAGATTTGGTTTTGGGACATAATATGTTTGATATATTTAAAAAAAAAAGTCAAGTAGAGATATCAAACTGGCAAATGGGTGAAAGGTCTGAAGTACAAAAGAAAAGTCTGGGCTGGAGGTAGAGTGAGTCACTAGTATATACATTTTGGTTGAAGTAGATCATTTAGAGACAGAAAACAGTATGAGAGGAGGGACTAGGCCAGAGCCTTGGGGAAGTCAACATTAAATGGTCGTGTTGAGGAGCATGAGTCTTTAAAGGACATAGAGGAGTGGCCAGAAAGATAGAATAAGAAAAACAGATGAATGTGTGGCACAATTATCTCTCATGGAAATAACAAAATCTTAGACTTTTTGAATTAGAAAGTACTATAAAAATCATCTAGCACCCCAAAAATTATTTTACTTATGAGTAAACAGAACTAGAAAAGCGAAGTGAATTGCTTAATATAACAAACAGAAGGTTCCAGGACTAATTCACTGCTCACTAATATAACAATGTTGTCTATGGGATAAGGATAATGAGGATGCTGATGTTACCATTGGGAAATTATATGATTCTTGGATTTGTGGTCAGGAGACCTTGGTTTAAATTCTGGTTCTACAGCTTTCCAGTTGAATGGGCTTTGATGTTTCTTAATCTTACAACTTTTGCTTACCAGCCTATAAAAATGGTTTATTAATTCATATGGCTGTTATGAGTTGAAGATTAGATAATATATGTCAAAGTGCCATGTAAACTATAAAGCACTATTTTAAAGGTTTATTCATATTATGTTTTAAGTGTTTGTGTATTTTTAAAGAAGGATAAATATATGATTACCAAAATCATACATCAGGAAAATTTCACAGGAGATCTTGCTTTGACAAGTGTTTAAATAGATTCTAAAACCATAGTACTCTAAGTAGTTTGATACTGTGAGGCAAGATTAATCAGTGGTAGGGAGTGGAATACAGAAAAAATAAAAGGAAGAATTTAGTATATGACAAAGGTAGTAGGACAAATAAATCAATTGCACTATTTAACATATAGTATATATAATACCTTTAGTAACATATAGTTTTGGTACCACCACCTAGCTATGTCTTAGGGGAAAAAACTGTATTTCTTTCTTACTATAAAATAAATTCCAGATGAATCAAAGATAAAATTACAAAACTGAAATAATTGAAGTACAAAAAGGAAAAGTGAGTGAACATGTTAGAATATTTGGAGTGAAGAAAGACATTTTTAACTTGGTATAAAAGTAAGAAACCATAACAAGAATTGCTAATTTTGGCTACATAAAAATACTGAATCTATTGGGCATAAAAAACCCTACATATAAACAAGGTTGAAAGTCAAATCCCATATCAGGAAAATATATGCAACATGAATAATAGACAAAATCTTAGACTTTTTGAATTAGAATATTAATATTCTAATAAAATCCCCCCTCCAGATGATCTAAAAAAGACAAATGCTCCATGAATAATATAATGGTAATGCTCATGACCTGGAAATTAAAAAATAAAATAATAAAAAATGACTTATTAATATATGAAGGCAGATTAAATCATACTGGTCATCAAAGAAATGCAAATCAAAATAAAGACACATCTCTTTTTACTTATTGGCAACAATGAAAAAGATTTACAATGACTAGGATTAATGCTGTAGGGAAATTAGCACACTTATGTGTACTTATATACCACTGGTGAGAATGTAAACTGGGGCCCCCTGGAGTGCAATCTAGAAATTAAGATAAATGTTTAAAATGCATAAACTACACTCTATTGGTATAAAAAGGTGCTTGATTAAACACATACATGGGGAAAACAAGGAAATAGAAGAATTTTAATTCTTCAAATATTCATAGCATAACTCTCCACTCCTTTATTCTTAGTGTGTGGACTACACATAATGTTTTCCTTCTGAAGAGTATAGTGTGAAAAAAAGGAAGGAGTAACTTTAGTGTAGAGACTTGACAAATACTACTTCAGCCAGATGATCAAGGCCAACAGTGAAAAGTCGTGTTGCTAATATGTACTCCCTTCATATGATGTAATAAAAATGACTCTTTTCCTCTGTGGTCTTCATCCCCCAAACCCATAATCCTTGCTTAACCATGAGAAAAAAACACACAAAAAACTCAGAAAAACCTCAATGGTGGGATATTCTATAAAATACCTCGTCAGTACTTTTCAAAGCTGGCAAGGTTATAAAAAGGAAGGAAAATCTGAGGAATTGTCCTAGTTTACAAGAGCCTAAGTAGTATTCTCAATGGGATTTGGGAACAGAACAGAAAAGTACATTAAGTAAAAACAAAGGAAATTGAATAAAATAAGGATCTTGGTTAATAACAATGTATTAATTGTAACAAATATATATTGTATGTCAGTGGTAATCATAGAGGAAGCTGGGTGTGATGTATAAGACAACTACATATTATATTTATAACCTTTCTGTAAATTTAAAATGCTTCTACAATAAAATCTTTAGTAAAAACAAAGAAAACATTTAAAAAATCTCTAGAAAAATATTTTCAAATGCATAGCTCTCATACTCCGATAACTCTATGTCTGGGACTATATCCCTAAAATAGAATCATGCAAATGTGTAATGGTGTGTGAACAGGGTGGTCATCCAGATGTTGAATATAATAGTGAAAAACTGGGAACAATTTAAAACTGTCAATAAAGGACTGGTTATATAAAATACTAGCGGCCTAATGCATGAAATCTGTGCGAGGGGCTCAGCTCTCACACCCGAGGTGGCTTGCCTCAGCCTTCGCAGCCTCAGCTTCGTCTGGAAGGTCATCCAGAAGGTCATTTGGCTGTCCAATTTAATTAGCATATTATGCTTTTATTATTATAGATTATATATCTACACACTATAACACTGCTTAGTTATTTAAAATGGTACATTTCTAAATTTATTGATATTTAATTCTATAACATAATTTTGAGGTAAAAGAAGATAAATTAGCATGTATAGTCTGATTCCACTAACAAATAATTATGTGTCTTGGCATGTATCATGTATGCAATTTGAATAGAAAGGTACCTGGAGCCTCAATATTTTAATAGTAGATATATATGAGTAGGAGATTTTATGTATGTTTCTTATTTCTTTATGTCTTGAATACTCTGAATTTTCTACATGTTTGTATATTATCTTTATAACAAGAGATAGTACTAAAAATACTTTGATTTTGATAACAAAGTATTTTGATATATATATATATTTTATTAGAGGCCTGGTGCATGAGATTTGTGCACAGGGTGGGGGTCCTTCAGCCTGGCTTGTACCTTCTTCAATCCAGGACCCCTAGGTGGATGTCAGATTGCCTGCAGGAACAGGCCTAAACCAGCAGTCTGACATCCCTCTCACAATCTAGGACTGCTGGCTCCTAACTGCTTGCCTGCCTGCCAGCCTGATCACTCTTAACCACCTCTGCCTGCAGGCCTGACCATCCCCTAACTGACCTCCTCTGCGGATCTGATCGCCCCTAACCACCTCTGCCTCGGCCCTGCCACCGTGGCTTTGTCTGGAAGATGTCCAGTCTAATTAGCATATTACCCTTTTATTAGTATAGATTATGATTTACTTTAAAAACATTTTTTTGAGAATGAGAATAACAAGCTTGAATTAGAAAATAATTAATAATTTTATATTAATAATGTTTAATTTAATAATTTTTTTGTCATTGGGAAATGGGTTCTAAAGACTTATTGAGTATCTTCCAAATGTTCTTGTAGGGCTTATAAAAAGAAATTAATGTAAGTTTCTAGTTTTTAAATTGTTGAAAATATGTTTTCCTTTATTATGTCATTTCTCTTCAAATTAGCCTTTTGCAATTTTACATATGCTCTACTGAGGATGAGCTGAGCTAACCTACCTGGTCTGTCTGTCATGGACTGAGTGACCTCCTGAGGGCTGAGGACCTCTAACATCTTTCTGTAATGACAAATAATGGAGTTCCATTCCATATGATGAAGCTGGGAGTCTACTCAAAACCCACTTTGCAGTTTGCTTCCTTCATTGAGCTAAGGACACAGCTGAAGCATTTCAAGATATCTTTGTATGGGTGTGAAAACTTCATTATGAGCAACTGGTCTCCTGAGATTTATATCCATAGTAGCATCTTCAATAAATTTAGGAATGTCCATTGGCTCAAAGTCCAAGTAATGGGATCTCATGATATAAACGATATAACTAAATATTTCTGTTGCTTTTTTCATACAGATTGGGAGGAGAGCTGCTGAGATAGAAGTCTGCCATATTTTCTGTAATGTTCCAAAATTCAAGCTCCTGACTGTTGGATCTTTTCTGGACCACTGTTATGGCCTTCTAAATAGTCTTAGTATACAGGCTCTTCTCTTCATAATCTAATTTTTACTTTTCTGAATACAAATCTGTTGTTTTCATCTGCATTCTCCAACTAAAGATTTTTGCCTATAAAATAAAAACCAAAGTTGTTAGCTAAGTACCTTCTTCCCTCTATGCCTTGGCTTATGTTTGACTGTAGTGCGACTTACTCATCTTTATAGACAACCTGAGATGTCATCTTTATAAGAAGCCACCTCTGGCCGAAACCAGTTTGGATAGAGCATCAGCCTGCAGACTGAAGGGTCCTGGGTTCGATTCCAGTCAAGGGCATGTACCTTGGTTGCGGATACATCCCCAGAAGGGGATGTGAAAGAGGCAGCTGATCAATGATTCTCTCTCATCCATGTTTCTCTCTATCCCTCTCTCTTTCTTTCTGTAAAAAAAATAAAATAATAAAAAATATATATTTTTTTAAAAAAGAAGTCACCTCTGATCTCCATGACTGAATAAAATTTATCCTCTCCCCACAAATTCAGGTTTGCCTTGCTTCCATGTCACGTACCCATTATATATCTTGTATCATAAGTATTTTTAGATTTGTTTAATCTTCCATGTTAGACTTAGCTCCACAAGGGCAGGGTCCATTTTTGTATGTTCACAATGTTTGGCAGGATTAATGTTTAATAAATCTTTATGGTAGGAACAGGAGGTTCCCATTCCTGACATAATAAATCAATGTTCTCAATGTTAATCCTACATCTACCTCCTGAAATAGAGAATTTCTTCCCAAATCATTCTAATTCTGATATTTTTTCTGATCTCATTAAACATTGTAGTATACCTAATGTTCCTTGCTCTAATTCCATGCTCACCAAACAGTTGTCTCATAACTTGGCCCTCAAGTTTGCCTCCATGGGAAAAAAATGTGTTAAACAAGCAGATGATTCAGTCCCTCAGCCATGATAATTTTTTGTTGTTTTATTTTTTATTTTTTAAATTTTTTAAATTAAATTATTATCTGTGTACATATACCATTGCCCTTCCCCCCCCTTCCACATAAGCCCTCCCTCCCCAGAGTTTTGTTAACATTGGTTGTACTTATATGCATGTATACAAGTCCTTCGGCTGATCTCTTATCTCCCCCAGATCTCCCTAACCTCCCTGCTGTAATTTGACAGTCTGCTTGTTGCTTTACTGTCTCTATATCTATCTTTTAGTTCATCAGTTTATAATGTTAGAAACACCAATCAGAAAGAATATATGCACCCCTATGTTCATAGCAGCACAATTTAAATAGCTAGGATTTGGAAACAGCCTAGGTGCCCATCAGCAGATGATTAGATCCAAAAACTATGGTACATCTACACAATGGAATACTACGCGGCCATAAAAAAGAAGAAATTCTCATCATTTGCAGCAACCTGGATGGAATTGGAGAACATCAAGCCATGATAATTTTTATTGTGGGTTTACTCAGTGGTTCCCAAAATGTGGTCCTTGGGTCACTAGCATCAGCATCACCTGAGAACTTGTTAGAAATACAAATTGTTGGACCCACTCCAGATGTACTGAGTCAGAAACTCTGACATTAGGGCCCAGAAATCTGTGTTTTAATAATCCTGCCAGGCCATTTTGTTACATGATCAAGTTTTAGAACCACTGGATTAATTTATATTCTCAGGACTTTTTAGAAAGATAAGGATTAAGTAAGCAACTCTGAGACTGGACAACTCTGACTCTGCAGGGTTGAAGGCCAAGCCCTGTCTGTGGTAATAAAGAAATGCTCTGGGTCCACGGGTGAGGTTTTCTGGTTGGCAGCCTGGGGCTTCTTAAATTGAAGATCCAAGTTTGCTTTGTATAGTTTCTATGTCTATCATTGAACCAAAGTATAATATTGACCAAACTATGTTATTCTTAATATGCACCTATCACTTATGTGTGTGTTTAGTTGAATAAGAAAAAAGGAATAAGGCAAAAGGGTTTGACTGAGGAGAGCCTAATAAATGCTCAATTTGCACAAATAATGGACTTATAGTCCTTGAAGAAGTCATAATCATAAATGTGTATTTAATTAGACTCTTCTAACATTTTTCACTCATGACTTAAGAAATGTGGATAATAATCAGTATACTAGCAGATTAACTTGGAAAAAGCAAAAACACGTCTTTTATCTTTGAAGAGAGAAAAATATGTACAGCACCTATCAATTGCAAATGTATTACAAAGTAATAGATTCATTATCATATTTTTTATGATAGAATAAAGAACAGAGATAATATTAACTTACCGCAGATTCAATTCTTCCAGTTAAATTTCTGTACTCTTGTGTAGCTGGTGAATTTAACTTATCATTATATTTAACATTTGGGATTTCAAAGCTGCTAGAGTAAAAATAAGATTTTTTATCTGTAAAATAAAGAAAAAGCACATTACTAAGTACTTTAATCTTTATTTTATTCAGGACTATGAGAGGATATATTACATAATTTTTTAAAAAATTGCTTCTATTAAGTGAAAGAATATTTTAAACTTAATATAAATGTATTTATAATAGTAAAACTAGAGGCCAGGTGCACGAATTTTTGCACAGGTGGGGTCCCTCGGTCTGGCCAGTGATTGGGGACAATTGGTATTGGTTGGCTGACCAGGAGGAGGAACAGCTGCTACTAAGATTCTGTTTTCATAAGACAGATTATAAATTAACAATAAATTTAATAAAATTACCCCAAATTTTAGGATTGAAATTTAAGGTTATTTTATTTTGTTTTGTTTAAAGTATTACAAATAGTAGTACATATGTCTTCTTTTTTCCCACTGACCTCCCCAGACCTCCCCTACCCACCAGCATATGCCCTCTCCCCTGCCCCCAGTGTCTTGCGTCCATTTATGCTTATATGCTTGCATACAAGTACTTTGGTTGATATCTCAATCCCTCCAACACTCCCCTGCCTTCCCATTGTATTGTAGTTTGACAGTCTATCCGATGCTTCTTTGCCTCTGTATTTATTTTTGAAACTTAAGGTTCTTTAGAACATTTGTTTTTATAATCTTTAGTAATAAAAGCATAATATGCTAATTATACCAGACGTCCTTCTGGACGTCCTTCCTTCCAGACAAAGCTGCAGTGGGCGGGGGCTGAGGCCCAGCCAGCAGAGGCCCCTAGCTGCAGCGGAGGGTGGGGGCTCGAGCCAAGGCTCTGGAATGAATTTCATGCATGGGGCCTGTCGTTTTATAAGATTATTAAATGAAAAGAGAAACCATGGTATTAATAAAAAACAAAATAGGCAAATTCTAGTATCAGAAAAGTACCAGGAAAATTTTTTTTCCTTTGGCTGGAATACTTTTGCTTGGGTAATAATGTTCTTTAGACTAGAAAAGGCCAAAAGAGAAGATATTGTAAAAATATATAGATTGAGGGAAAATACAGAAACAAATACATAGAAGATTATAAACAAAAAATATAATTATCTTATATTAGAAACTAAAAGTGGCAATTAAGGCAGGCCAAAAAATTTTAAAATATTAGTTTCAGGTGTACAGCATAATAGACAGTTATATAATTTACAAAGTGATTCCCCTGATAATTCAAGTACCCACCTGACACCGCATTTATTACAATATGCTAATTATATTCAAGATGCTGAACTTTACATCCCCTTTGACTATTTTGTAACTACCAATTTGCAACCATCAGTTTGTTTTCTATATCTCTGAGTCTTTGTTTGGGCTGCAGGAGGTGCAGCAAGTGCTGTCAAAACAAAGCTTGATGGAGTTCAGGTGCAAGTAATTGAGTAGATTTGAAACTCGCAAGAACATTGTTCATTTATTTCATTCTTTAGGTTCTGCAAATAAGTGAAATCATATGGTATTTGTCTTTCACTAAGTTATTTCACTTTGCATTATACACTCTAGGTTTGTCCATTTTGTTGCAAATGGTAGTATTTCAAGGAAAGCCAAAATTTTAACCTGAAACTATATTTAGTTATTTAGACTAAAAAGTGGCACTTTTAATCTTCTGGTACTTACCAAAAGCTAAAAAGTGGATCAGTAGACCTATCGTCACTGCCAGGACTAACACCACTGCGATAACAACAAAAAGCACCACATATGGATTCAGGAATCTTGAGGTTGATGGCCCCCGTCCTGGCCTTTGAACAAGAGAAAAACATCACAGGCTACTCATTTCCCGCAGAGAAGCTGTTATTTTAGTGCTCATGATCATATTCTGTCTTCTTAAACCTATTGATATTTGCTTGCACATGGTTCTATTTAAGGAAAAACAAGTGATTCATATATATATTTAATTTTAAAGAGGAAGGGAGAGAGAAACATCAATGATGGGAGAGAATCATTGGTTGACTGCCCTGCATGCCCCACAAAGGATCAAGCCTGCAACTCAGGCATTGCCCTGACTGGGAGTCGAACCATGACCTCGTAGTTCATAGGTTGAAGCTCAACCTGTGAGCCAGGCCAACTGGGCTGAAAACCAAGTGATTTTTTTATTTTTAATAGGAATTTAATGCTAGAAATAAACCTGACCTGGACAACATTTTCCTTAATGGTTTTCTTTCAAAAAAAAATTTTCAGCATATTGTTGACATGTAATCTGCTAGGAGAATAAGGAGTTCTAACCTATGGTTTGCAGTTGTTTTCCCTTCTTCCAGTTGTTGAAATTCCCAAGAACCAAATTGTTCTCTGTTTTTATGTGTGTTTTTTTTTAAATATATATTTTATTGATTTTTCAGAGAGGAAGAAAGAGGGATAGAGAGTTAGAAACATTGATGAGAGAGAAACATCAGTTGCCTCTTGCACACCCTCTACTGGGGATGTGCCCACAACCAAGGTACATGCCCTTGACTGGAATCAAACCTGGGACCTTTCAGTCCACAGGCCCACGTTCTATCCACTGAGCCAAACTGATATCAGCTGTTCTCTGTTTTGCTCTAACCTAGGGGTGTCGAACTCAATCAGAGAAGGGGCCAAAATCTAAAATCCAGCCTAAATCGCGGGCCGAATGGTTTACTGAACAGTCATAAACTGTCATTGTGATGGAAACGCAGCGGAGTGCAGTGATGACAGCGCGGTGTGGGCCACATTGCAAGGCCTGGCGGGATGGATTTGGCCCGCGGGCCTTGTGTTTGACACATGTGCGAGTCTAACCTCTCCCAGGACCCTATGTGGAATCTCCCTCACCTGGGTACCATCGCCAGGATTGTACAGAAAGAGATCATTTTGAATGGGGCAAGGATGGAGGGAATTGGAACAGTAGTATTTTTCACTGAAATATTATCCTTATTATAAAAATAGGGATGTGGCCAGAGGCCAAGAGATGAGGTCCAGGAGAGAAGCAAGCTCCTGAAATGAATTAGAACTGCACCACCAGCAGAGGATTTGTGTGACTTTCCTTTTTCTCATGAATTTTTCAACTGTAGTGTAATCCAGTAGTATCTGATATTGCATTAGGCATATAGCCCAGGTACTATCTTTTACACTGCCTCCCTCTTACTGCACACACATACTGGGGAGATCATCAGAAGAGCTGAGTGTGAATTCATGTTCTATCTCTTGTTTGATTAGTAATCATATTGTTATTTATCTGAGACATCCTTTACTTGAAAAATGGGAATAATCATACCAGCCTTATATAAGGCTGTTTTGAAGATCAGGAAGGTTATGTTAGGTTCTGAAAACTATATAATCTGGTTAAATTGGTTATTCACCAAGCTGTGAGCACCTTGAAAGTAAAGATGTTACTCTTGCTTATATTTCTGAAACTTTTGTAGTGTGCCTGGCATGCATAAGGAAATCATAAATATTTATTACTAGAAACCCCATAAATAAAAATTCATGCTGAAATGGGCCTTCCTATACCTGGCTGCTGGCACGGCCTTTCCACTCCAGCCCAGCCCCAGAGCCACCTCTTTCCACTCTGGCCCTGCCTTCCCACACTGCCGTGAAGCCCCAAGAGACAGGGGTGGAGCAGAATGCCTGCCTTGTCGCCATGGTGATGATGCAAGCATCCCGCCCAACCTTAGTCACTTGGTGCTTGTGTATGCAAATTAACCTCCATCTTTGTTGGGTTAATTTGCATGTCACTCCTGATTGGCTGATGGGTGTGGTGGAGTGATGGTTAATTTGCATGTTTCCCTTTTATTAGGTAAGATATTTGCTGTATGTATTAATACCTGGTCATGTTTCAAATTTTAAGATCTTGACTAAGCTGAAAAGCAGTTACATTTAATCTGATTTTTATTTTTTTTCCATTTGTTTTGCCAACATTTTGGTCTACATGTGAAGGGAATGCTTGAGGTCAGATATTCCCAAACATTTAGGTTTCACAGCAGGGTTGCCTAGTGGTGTCTGGGCTCTGCCCAACTCACAGACTTATGGGAAGGAACCCCTGGCATTTTGCAATGTACCCCCTGCATATCATATGTTATGGCTCTGGGACTAGTAACATGTCAGATTATTAGAGGTGGACATAGAATTGCCAACTTTCAATTTTAAACACATTAAAAATTGACCATGCCTGCCAGGCCAGTGTGGCTCACCAGTGGAGCATTAACTGATGAATCAGGAAGTCATGGTTTGATTCCAAGTCAGGGCACATGCCTGGGTTTTGGGCTCAATCCCCAGTAGGGACATGGAGGAGGTAGCTAACTAATGATTCTCATCATCGATATTTCTCTTTCTCCCCCTCTCCCTTCCTCTTTGAAACCAATAAAAATATATTTTAAAAAATTGACCATGCTCAAACATTATCATTTAGTAAAAAAGCATTTAAATATGTAAAAATAGGAAGGACATCATTCAGAATGATAAAAATATATATATATGATGAATAATTAGACATCAGTTTTAGGATGTCTTTTACTCCATCGCTCCTGTTTGTTCATTTTGCTCTACTAGTGAAACTGATGCTCACTAACACTGGTCCAGAGTCCAATGTTTAGGAAGCACTAATGGTAATTTCCAAGTTGGAGAAAATTGGCACTTTGATGTTTGTTGACTTTTGATCCTATTTACTCCTGCTACCATATGGGGTTGTCCTGCCAATGACAAGCGATCACCAATGCACATGGTATTTGGCATTTGAGAGTGAATATTAGTGGCTGCCCTGCAGTAGGAGAGCCAAAAGGAGACAGCATTGGAGACAAGGGTACACCTAAAAACCTAAATAAATTTCAAATCTATTGGACATCCTCCTCAACCAGGATCAACTACTTCCAGAGGCGAACATGTCAAGTTTTATGGATGTGGAAGTAATGAAAAACAAAGTTTACGTTGGAGATCCAAAGCCCAGAAAGCAAAAACATAAAGGCTGGAGTCAGCATATGCTTTAGCTTGGATGAGCCTCCCTTGGGAATGACTATAGAGCCAACTTTGCTTCAGTTGATAGAAAACTTCTTAAATTCAATGACTGAAAAGCATCATGAGACATATGACTAAGTAGAAAGAAGGGTGTGGAGCTCAAATTATCTTAATCTCAGAAGCCATAGTTAATTCCATAAGAATGGATTGTTCCACCCTATAGAAAATATCTGAAGAAGTGTCTGCTCTTTTTTTAGTGTGATTTATCCCACTTTGTAAGTGGCTGGCTTTAAAGCTTACGACAACACAAACTTAATTGTGGACAATATTCACTTTGTAAACTATTAGGGAAAATGTGTTCCACACACTGTCTGAATTTATAATATATATATTTCAGAGAAGAAGGAGGAGAGAGAGAGAAAAAAACAACAACACCATCTATGATGGGAGAGAATCATGATTGGCTGCCTCCTGCATGCCCCCTACTGGGGATTGAGCTGGCAGAATCAAACCTGGAACCATTCAGTCTGCAAGCCAAATCTATCAACTGAGCCACATCAGCTAGGGCCAGAGTCTGAATTTTGACTCACAAAGCAATGGGCCTGGACTGAAGTGGAGTGAGCAAGTTAGGGGTGAGGATACATCAGAAGGAGATAAAGTGAGAAAGGCAGGAGTAGGGTGTCAGCAGGTGAGGGGAGATCATTCAGGGCTTTGTATGTAAGAGCATTGGAGGAGGCGATAAGGGTCAGAGTCTGGATATATTTTAAATTTAGACCATGGAAGATTTGCTGATGGTTCACTTATGAGATGTAGATAAAAGGATCTAGATTGAATCTGATATTTGTTTCTTTACAATCAATCTTCTAAAATCTTGCAAGGAATTCTTTTTAAAAATTTTTTTTTTTAAAAATCTTGGGTTCTAACATTCCCCTACCTCATTTGAAATTTATCTGTAGCTTTTCATGATCCTCAGGATGGCATCCAAACCTTTCACATGGCATTTAAAGTCCATCACAGTCACCTCTGGAGCCTTATCTTCTGCCACATACTCATTTGCTTACTCATCCCCAGCCAGACAGCTGGCAAATTCCCATTTTATCCTTAAAATAATTTAAGCATCTTTCGCTTCCCTTCTTATGCTCTCACTGCCCCTTATCTGATCTCATATGCCCAATGAATTTCTCTATTCTAGTCCTTATCCCTTTATGTGGTAAACAATGATTGTACTGCCTGCACCCACATCTAGGCTGTAGCTCGTGAAAGGTAGAGATGCATGGATATGTCCCATCCTTAGCACAATACCCATTTCGAATCCATATTGGGCCTTGTTTATGGAAAAATTGGTGAATGAAACTGAAGAGATGAGTTTAAAAATAATTGTCCTATAGTTTGGATGGACTTTAAAAATACAATTGTGTACCATCTATTCTTGTTTGAATACCGACACAGTACAGATAGGAGAATAATGTATTGAGTGCTTAACAAATATTTGGCACTGGATTGAGTTTTTCTACATCATTTAACTTAATCCTTGTAAGTAACTCTGGTTTATAGTTGATGAAATGGAGGCTTAGTTACTTAGCTAGTAAGTGACAGAGCTGGAATGTGAATCCAGTTCTGTCAAGCTCAAACTGCAAAAAATGTCCACCTAAGATGGGAGGAAGTTTTCTGCTAATTATCATGTCATTGTTACTAATTTCTATCACACTTACTACCTTACTCTTGATGTGAAGAGATGGAAAGTTAAAAAATATTTGTTCAAACCTTTTTTATAGGACTAGAGGCCTGGTGCATGAAATTCCCACACAGGTGGGGTCTCTCCACCTGGCCAGCAATT